GAGATGATAAATTTTGAAGAGTTTTTTGATGAGTTGCAGCTCAGTTAACTTAGTTTGTTTTCAGTCCCTCTGGTGCTGGGAAATACCACGGCCCAGGCCAGGCTTCAGTGGGTCACGAGTGTGAACTTTTGGTGCTTTTCTGGGTTTTTAGTTTAGAGTAAGTTTGAATAATTTTAAGAAAAAGGGGCGGCGGGGGGACGACCACAGTCCGGGGAGCTTTTCTGTCTTAGTTAGAAATTAACTAAGAGCAAAGGAGAGCTTTTCCCTGTTGTCTATTGTAGACAACACAGTTTGTGTGTAGGATGCTGGGGAGCAAGTGTGGGTTTTGATGATAAATTTTGTACTTCTTTTCTTCTTCTTTATTTCTGGGATCAGTTTCAAAGTTGCAGAACTTAATATTTAATATTAACAGAACAGATAATTAGGGATACAAGCATTATGAAGTCAACCTAAGACGAGACCCCTCACCAAACACCCACCACCAGCCACAGCAGGGCAGGACACTCGAGCCAAGGGAAAGGAGCCAGCCCCTTGCAAGAACCAGAGGAATCCGCACAGCAGCAAGACTCAGGACAGAAACCAGACTCACAGAGGCCTGAGAATGCTGTATTGCACAGACACTGTGTTTTGCAGTCTGGCCTCCTGGCCCTAATATCCTCTGACAGCTCCCAGAGCAGGTTTCAGCCATTGGATCACGACACCAGCTCCTGCGGGAGCTGCTGCTGCAGAGTCCCTCTGCCAGGGCTCAGCACAGCACGCAAGGAGCTGCAGGGATGTGCAGCCTCCAGAGCTTGGAGCAGGGATTTATCTTCACAAGAGGAATGCTGGGTCCAGCCCAGTCCTTAAAAACGGGAGCTTTGGAAGGCAACTTCAACTTGACTGCTTGTTTGGTGGCTAATTGCTAATGAAAACAGAAGGCACAAACCCAATCTGTGTCTTCACCAAAGCCCACAGAAACGCCCATCCCAAATCAAACACTGCCTGTCTGAGGCTCTTAGTGAATTTTTTTCTGACTCCTTGTCTGTCAGGCTGCAGAAGTGAAAAAGCTGAAGCCACCCCAGTTCATGGGGAATGTGTTAAGCTATGCCACAAACTCCCTCCCCTTGCCAAGCAGCAGACACACGGAGCTGTGAAAGGATGTGCGTGCCTCCCAGTTAATGTCACCTTCACAGCTTCCATAGGTCACAGCACCAGCAGACACCCACACCAAACCAAGATGCCAAGCAGAGCACAGAGCATTCTGAACAATGCCACGGGCCCGGGGAGAGATGAGGAATTTAAGAGAAATAGAACAACAGGAAATAGGGAAAGTCCCTCCAGCAAAGATCCTGTGGCCCATCACAGCACTGCACAGGGAGCAGTGACACAATGGAGTGACTACAGGGCTGCCTGGCAGCCAGCATTCCCATGGCCATTGTTGCCAGCACGGGAACTACACAGATAGCAAACAAGAGCTGTGTTCCCAGGCACTGGCAGAGACACAACCACTACAAATAAAATGACTTCCTGAAGCTCCTCAAGGCCTGGGCACACCATGCCATCATAACTGGTAAATCATATCCTGAGGCAGGAAAAACTGTGCCAGGAGGGGATAAAGAATCAAGCAACCTGGATGGGTTTTTGCCTGTGTCCTGGACTGATATTAATTATGAGGATAGATGTAACTTGAGAGTCACTGCAAGGAAGGAGAGTCTTTGTCTGAGCTAGGGGATATATGGGAGAAGTAGAGGATGAATCCCACCCAAATATGATCTCACTACAAGAGCGTTGCCTCTAGAAGTCACAAGGCTTAGAGAAAGAGGAGGGATAATTTTATATTCTCTTTTCTAGCAATAAAGCCTCTGTAAGATCCCAGGGAAAACTGCTAGGACAGCTTTTTTATGTTTCGTAGCTTAGTATTGTTCTTTTTTGTACTGGGAAGTGCTTTGCCTATTAAATAAACAGTTCTTTCCCCTCTTCTCTCTGAAAAAATATTTCCCTGAACCAGTTAAAAAAAAAGAAAACGATTTGAATCTGTTTCCTAAAAAAAAAATCCCATTCAAAGGTTTTCTCCTTAAATTTGCCCTAAACCAAGACACCATTCTGGATAAGCAGCTCTCTCCAGAGGATGCCACAAGCAGGCCATGCATGTAGAGGACAACAACAAGGGCAGGCCAGGGGATCCATGTGGTGCTTTAGCTCTCAAAACAGCTCCTGCAGGGATTCAGAGCAGGGGCGTTCCGGGCTAATCTCTGAGTCCCCTCAGGGAACCTGGGGATTACTGCTCTACATCTGCTCACAGGGTCGGGCCCCACCTTGAAAAGGCAGTGGAAGTGCTGACAGCCACTCTCAGCTCTTTAATCGGTTTGGGACAAACAGCTCTGTCCCCTGTGGTGCAGCACCTCTCAAGTGACTCCCTCTCTCACAGGCCTGGTGGCTTCTCTTCAATGAGCCTTGGCTGGGGCAGGGATGCAGAGTTTGTCAGCAAGGGCAGAGCTACAGTGCAGCTCCCGGTTATCTCAGGATAGCTCAGGATATCAGGGCTGGCAGAAGGTCAGTCTGGCCACCACTGGTACCTCCCCAGCTGCAGCCCAGGCCAGGGTGGGATGGAGATCCCTAAGCTGCAGTCAGAGCTGTGCTTTCAACTCTAGACCTGTGCTAACTCAGCTTCCCAGCAGAAGGGGCTGCAAAAACCTGGATTAGGAGTTACTTATGGACTAAGATCAACTGTTTGCTTCTCTTCCCGCTCTTCTCTCCCTCCTGCACATGCCTGCCAGAGCCCAGGCAGCTGGGACACACCACTGATCCTTCCTCCTCCCTTTCAGACCTGGGGATGCTGGTTTGGGATCGGCTCTGGCTGTGCCAGTCCCAGGCAGTCAGCCCCATCTGCTGGCTGCTCTGGCCTTGGCTGCTATGGAAATATGGAAAGCTCCAAGGGAAATTTAGGTTGGATGTCAGGAAAAAGTTTTTTATTGAAAAAATGATGAAGTAGTGGGATCGTCTGCCCTGAGAGGTGGTGGAGTCAGCATCCCAGGATGTGTTTAAAAATTATGTTTAAAAACGAATTGGTCGTGGCACTCAGTGCCATGGTTTAATTGAGGTGGTGTTAGCACATGGGTTGGACTCGATGATCTTAAAGGTCTCTTCCAACCTGGTGATTCTGTGATTCTCCAGTAATGGACAGCCTTGCTTTTAGCCAGTCTTCTCTCAACCCTCACATTCTTCTCTTGAAGCCACAAGGCTGACCCAAATAATTTAAATTATTCACATTTACGAATAGGGGGTATTACACCGAAAACATTTTATTAAAAAATGTTACAAATAGGACAATACATATCGGGTTAAATGAGAGATTTTTAACTTATAATTATAACTTAAACATAAATTAAGAGAAACTCATTTGAAGACTTCTAACAGTTCGAAAAAATCATATTTTCAATACATAAACATACAAATCTGTCTTCCATTCGTAAACATGATGCAGGCATGCAATCCTTGCAAACACCTCCAATTTATTTTAAAATAAATTCTGATCAATTGATCAACAGCCACAGACCTACTCAAGAACAAGTATTTTACAATACATGTATAGTTAAGAGCACAGAAATATCCACAGTAAAAGCTGCACAAATAAATATATATGTATATACACATATTACAGTACACAATCCCACAGGGATGAGATAATTTCAGATCTACCTGCTGTGCTCAGAAACCACAGTACCTTGTGTAAGCACTATGGTTCCTAGTGCTGTTATAGTTTAAAAAAAGGTATCTAAGTTTTCTGGGATATGCAGCAGAAACCCAAATAATTGCCCATATCACTGCAGGCATATCTATTGACTGGGACATCTTAAAATAAACTGACTTCCCCAAACCAGATCAATAGTTTCAAAGCTGTTCAGTGAATATTTTTTCACCCTGATTCTTCTGTTTCTGCAAGCATAACCTCTGTGACTCCAGAGGAGACAGGTCCAGCAGTGTAGTAAGTGATGTGAAACAATGCATGTCTTCACCTCACCTCGGTACCTTTGAGTGGAGCAGAGGAGGAACCAGCCTCCTCTTCAGGCAGTAGAGCACTATTTGCTCACCATCTGGACAGGAAATGGCAAGCTCCCAGTTTAGGATAACTGCAATGGCTGAATGTAGGCAGGATTTGGCCAGAAGGCCTAGAGTTTTCTGCTTGTCTTCAATGGAAATACCAGATAGCTTGAGCTTAAGATTTCTGAATCATACACAAGGTCAATCATCTTGTCAGCAAGAGGTAAAAACATCTGGACAGCTGCTGATTTTCAGGCAGTTTCATTCTCCAGAAATCTGAGACTTAAGTGAAGGTGGCTGCAATTCCTGTAGAGAGAAAAAAAATCCTCCATAAATCAGAAAACTGGCAGAGATTTGTATTTGCTCTCATCCCAGAGGAATTTTGTATGCAGCAGGTAGCAGAACTGAAAAAAGTCTTCTTAATACCATATGCAGCTGAAGAGAATGCTAAGCACAATAATCCTTAAGGAGCTGAACAACCATTTCTACAGCAAGAAATCCATCAGTCTTGTTAGGAGCTTCCATGCAATGCCAAGATGCATATCAGGAATCCCAAAGCACATATTACTGTGTCACCAATTGTACAGCAATTAGCAGCTCTGATGGATTGCTTGTGTGATTAAAAGGAAGAGAGTTTGTGAGTGAAACCCATCACATGTGCTTACCTGGAGCACCTGAGTTAGACATTCTCGCCAGCACTTTGGAAGCTGCCCTCACTGGCTGTTTCCTGCCAGTTCCTATAAAACAAAAAGTGAAAAGCACTTTAATGACAACAGGTTTTTATCAAATGGATTTCAGCCAAGTGATGGCAGTAGTTTTTGTATGTTGCTTTTTGAGACACAACTTACCTGAAAGGAATAAACTTCTTGGCTGCAAGAAGAATAAGAAAAGCTATTAGCATTTCAAGATAAAAGCCCTAATTCTTGTTGTCGAAATATTTGGGGTTTACTATTTTTTTTCCTTTTTTTAGATGTTCATCCAAAAGCCAAATGTAGCATACATGGAGGGTTCTTGAAAATAATTTTGGAATTTATCTAACTATGGGAATTCCCACTTTTTCAACAAGCAAGGTATAGAGCTCTGGAGGTTTGGGGGGTTTTTCCCTCCACTGAAAATTTTTCAGAGAGATAAATAAAGCAGTGGAGCCAGAGCAAGTGCTCACCTTTTCTCCGGAAGCGCCTTGCAAGCCAAAGGAGGAATGATGCTGTGGACAGCAGAGAGGCAGAAGTGGCTGCTATGCCCACTGAGATGTAGGTGGCTTGGTCAGAGGCTGAAAGGATGAAAAGGTTTCAGTGAGATCAAGGGGCACAGATGGTCTTTGGAGCTCTCTCTCCTTCTTCCCTTTCCTTGTGCTCTTCAAGAGAAAGCTGAACTGCAGCTTGTAACACTAAAGTTTTCTCTTGGTGAAACGGGACAGTTCCTGTACACAAGGTAAAAAGCTGAATACCAAAAATTGCCCCATCCATTGCCAAACTAATGGCCAGGCAAGAAGCTCCCTACACCAGGGTCTGTCTCTAACCTCCAGCCTTGCATAGCAATTTGTGCTCCTCTTATTTTTCATGTTGCAGTTCATATTTTAACTCCCTGTGTGCTATCTTTCTCTTTGAGTAATCCTGCTGAGATCAATGAAATTATTCCAGGATCTAAATTCTGTTCAAGCAAATTAAAGTGGAATTGAGCTTTTAGGACCTCAAGCAAAACCATTCCAGGCAGGCCAGGGGTGTTCCTGCTGAGGGCAGTGACAGAGCTCTTACTGCCTTGAATGAGAAAAGCAAGGCTGAGCTTTCTGTCCTTTGACATCACAGCCTCTGAGAGAAAATCTCTGTGAGGTCTTTTGGCTGAAGAGTTCATCCGAGAAACTACTACACCAAATTAAAAAAAAACTTTAAAATCTTCCACTGAGAAACAGACCCATGAATGCAGATTTCCCCACGAGGTTCTGTTTCTCTAGAAAAGCATTTGTCTCTATTCACATGATAAAAAGCTCATAGTGAGAAATATTTTGTTTAAAAACCAAACAGAAAAACTGAAATGCAGTTGCAGGGGTTTTTTTATATATATAAGAAATCAACATTTTTCCCACAAGATCTTTTAGGATTTTTCCCCTCTTGTATTTTCAAGTATAATGAGTGATTTTGAATTCATGGATTTCACTACTTGTTCTATCTCACTGGCTGCTATTACCACCACTACCACTCTTCCACGCCTCATCTGCCTAAAAATCCAGTGCCACAGGCAAAATACCTTCACAAGTGGGCAGGCTGGCACTCCAGTTTCCTGAATGGCTGCACTCAAGAACACGAGAGCCATTGAGACTCCATCCTTCAGGGCAGCTGAAGTGGCAGGAGGTGTTGTAGGTGAAGATCCCAGCCCCGTGGGAGCAATCCATGGAGCCTTTCTCAGGAGAGCTCAGTGGTTCACACTGTATGACTGAAACACAAAAAGATATGGTTCAGAGTCACTAAGGACTTTCCTGTCTTTGGCCCAGTTTTTTGCACTAGTAGATGTACAGTTTATTTTCAAATTAATTTAACTTTGGGATGGGAGCTGCTCAGAGCCATGAGCAGGCATTCCAAGGCACAGCTGAAAACATGGGAGCAGAGAGTTTAGTTTGGAGCCAGAGCCCTATAGGAATATGGATGTCTCTGTGTTCCCAGCGACCAGAAAATTGCAATTTCCAACAGTCTTACCTTTGCATTTGGGCGCTGGCTCTGACCACTGTCCCTGTGGCAGGCACACAGTGCTGGATGAGCCCTCCAGGACATATCCCTCACTGC